CAATTATTTTATTAAATGGGGAGAAGCAGAGAAAGAGGAGTAACCTCTATCCCAGACCACCTTTTTCTACATTTCCAACATAAAAATGTGTTTTAAACATGCATTTTTAAATATGAACATCTCTCATGTCGGTGGATTTTGCATAATTATATAATGCAATGTGCCTGGTGAAAAAGGTTAGGACTTTAAACATTAATAACTTTATTATTCTTGCTGCAGATTTCAGAGTATAAAAAATTGCATCTCAACACAGAAGACAAATTAGCTTTTAATTTAAAATACAATGCAAATTCCTAGTGATCAGTGGATAAATTATATGTAAGATTACTAACATTTTTTAACTTACATAATTTAAAACCTATTCAGTGGTTCCTTTAATGTGTTCAAAAACTGTGTTAGCCTTCATGAGGACATTACTCTGAACTATGGGTGAAATGCAGCCCAAAATGTTTCAAAGAAAATTCTGAAATAAAAAAAAAACAAACCCATGTTTTTTTAGTGGATACTTTTTATTTTACAGTAAGAAAAATAGACCAAAGAAGACAGGACAATACCAAGTACTGGCTGTACTGTGCAATGATCCTTACTTATGACCGGTAGATAAGACCTTATATTGAATGATGCTTGGGATGCATCATCACCTGCCATGCTGAGAATGAAAGTGTATGCTAGCATCTATCAATAAAACCATGGTCTCCCTGCTTTCTTTCTGTCCTCCCCCTTTTAATTTGCCTCAGTAGTCAGAGATGGCCAGACAACTTCAGGGAATCATGTAGAAGCTCCATAATGCAGCATTGCTTACTGCCACATATGCTAACCTGCTTTGTTTTACTTCACAGTAAGCATCATCGATTGTTTTACTTCACTGTATTGCTTGCCTGAATCTAGGTATTCAGTGACATTTGAGTGCCCTGCCTGACCTCCTGCTGCTGAATTCCTACTGGGATGTGGATCCTTTGCAGCCTGTGTCATATCTGCTAGCCTTCAGCAGAGATCTCAGGCATAATCAGAGGTAGCCAAATTGAATCACTCTTCTCATGTGTCAGATGAAAGCAGAGCAGGCAGGCTTTGTTTGAACTTACCTATTCAGTCGCTTGTAATTATTTAACAATCCCTTCAGCCTCTTTGAAATAATGGCAGGAGATGGTTTGCACACATCTCAAGCCTAAGTACTAAGAACAGAAATTAGTATGTTCTTCCATGCTCATCTCCAGCACCTGTATTAGCAGCAAACTAGCTCTGATTGTTCGGAGCTGTCTGTGATTCTCCATCCAAGGCAGGGTACACAGTTATTTCTTTGCTGCAACTTTATTTATTGGGGTCTCAGCAGCATGTGCAATGCAATAAGTTGAAAAGTGGAGAGGAAGTAGGGCACTTGACAGTGCACAGGAGACATCCAATGAAAGGACAGGGACTCATTGCACGGCACGTGTGTGCCTCTTACTACAACAGCAAATACCCAGGAGAAGGAGAAAAGTGTGTTGAGGACCTACAGTTGTGTGCAGCATCTCAGAGTGGAGCATGAAGTTAGTTGCTATTATTTAGGACCTACCAGAGGTATTTTGAGTGGAAGGTATTGATTATTTCAAATACCTGCTACCTACTTAGTTGGGCTTAGTTTATAATGCCTGACAGCATGTAAGAACTAGCTGAAGCTCTGATTAAAGAGAGAATGGGTTTTTTTGTTCATAAAACCTCTTGCCTTCATTGAAGGTTAAGCAAACACTTCGCTATTGCTGTCCTGAAGTGGAACCAAAACAACTGAATGTTACAATAGGGAACTAGGAACTTTTGTGCTCTTTTTCCATTTTTCTGCTTTTTAAGTTTATTCTACTTTTTATACCTTGCAAATCCTGTAAAGATCTGTTGGATCCATGGGAGGATGTATTCCCAATTAGTGATCTTCTGTTTTGAAAGGGAGATTTGTTAGCAAAAAAATTCTTGCAGCTCTCAGATGATCACCAGCTGTTCAAATGCATTTTGTAGTCTAATTATACAGGATAACCAAAAATACTGGTCTCTCCAAAGAATAATTTCCAGTAAGAACAAAAGTCTGTTCTTCAGCTGATATTGCAGTCTTTAGGCTACAATTCCCCTTCTAAAAAGACCAGCAAAGGTTCACATCATTTAGGTGTTGGCAGTTTGAAGTGCTTGGACAGTGTGGTTTCAAATGACATTGTCAAACCTAAAGTTTCCATTTTTACTGAACTTTTCATTCATGTTCATTAAAAAAAATAAAGCCAAAGAATCTTACTAATCAAATAGGTTGATAAAATACATTTCTTATCTTTAAATTTTTTTTCAGGTTTTTTTGTTTTCAATACAGTTGATAGCACTGTGGCCAAATTATTTAGAGTTTAGCTTTGATAAAAGTTTTCAGTTCCAGCATACCTGCCCTCAGCTTTCTCTAGTCAGGCTGTCGGGGTCAAGCTACTGCTGCAGGCTCCTGTAAAACCTGGAAAAGTTTATAAGAGTGGGATTCTGGGGGGCTTTGGATAGAGCACATGCTAAACAAAAATGTGATTTTTAATTAATCTAGCCAGTGCTTCCAGCCATGCTTTATTTCAGAGCATCAGGCTGTGCTTGACATATCTTTTACTCAGTATTTTTTGATGAAGTCTTTTGACTCGACTAATTCACGTGAGCTGCACTCAGCTTTTCTACAAGAATTCAACCAAGTTCAGCTGTAGTTAACTTTTCTCTATATTCAACAGTGACTATTGGCATACGTGAGCTGATGAATATGTTTAAATGACCAGCTTTATGTTAAAAGAATGATATTAATATTTAAACATTCTGGAGGAGAAAGCAGATAATATCACCCAAAGGCATTACTAAAATTGCTCTCCTTTCTTTGATTTCAAGATTACCATCTGTGTAAGCATCAGAAACAGATGTTCTTTTCACCAGAAAACTGTATGTGAAAGCAAGGACAATATGCTTGTATAGGCTATTGGATGTAAAGAGTGTTATAGAAGTAATGGAAGAACAGATAGCAAAGCAAACAATGTGTTTTGTTGTAAGGGGATCTGGAGAAATTATCAAATGGATTTTTTCAAAGGGATTAGTTGATAAAGTGGTTCCTGTTTTATGAAAAATCAGGTTTGTCAGAATTTTGAATTTCACATTTTTCTTGCTTTCTGTTTGTTTGGCTTTGCCTTAATTCATAAAACTCCCATGAAATGGTTTGTAAGTTAAATGAAAATTGTTGGGGAAGAGGTCCTAAAAATGGATGAATATAAAACTAAAAAGTGTTTCAAAGGTTGTTTATTGTTATAGCTCAGCTAAATCAAAGTGTATTATAATATGTAACAAATGAGAGTAATTTGGTTTTGTTTTGTCAGCTTGGTGCAGTGATATCTTTATCTTTGATTTGCAGTTAAGGTTTCTGTTATAAAAGGCCGACATTCGGTTGTGCAAGTTTTCCTGTTTTCAGAGTTTCATTAATGGATTCTTCTCCCTCTCTTTTCTTTTCAGCATGAATCTATTAATGCAGCTAACATTTTCTGAACCTTTGTATCCCCTCCTGATGCTTTCCCAGGTTACAGAATGGCCAGTAGGAAACCAGGGCTTGCTGTATGATCGGAACTGGATGGTTGTCAACCAGAATGGAGTCTGCATGACTCAGAAGCAGGAGCCAAGGTTGTGTCTTGTAAATCCCTCAATTGATCTGAAACAAAAAATTATGGTCATTCAGGCAGAAGGTTAGTAAACAGCATCCTATTCTTCCCTTACTTATTGGCATCAAAGTTCTAGGCAGAGACACCTGCATGCACCCACCAAACTACTGAACGCTGTGAATGCTTACTGACCTCAGGGACAAGTTCTGTACCAGCTGTGGGCAATGAAAGCCCAAGCTGTAATATATATCCTTGGTGGGTGGTTTCCTAACTTGGTTTTGGTATGGACAGAGAGTAGACAGTGACTTCCTATGTGCAGTCATAAAGTGGATGCTCCAGGAAGGAGAAAGGAACAGATAGATGTGGAAATTTACTGACTAGTGTATCTCTCCACATCATGAAGTCTCATAGCCTGAAGGGACTGTTATTGCTGCAAAGGTAAAGGAATAGAAATCTAACATTTAACACCCTGGCCAGACCTTCCCATTTTATACCTCTCTTCCTCCTTTCATCTGCAAGATGAGAGGGGTAGAGTCTTCAGTGGAAATTAGTATGAATTAAAATAAGGGCCAGACATTATTTGACTCCATTAAATACTTGCACTAGCAGGCAAATATTTCATGATGTTTTTGCTTCTTGGGATTTATCAGAACCTTTTTTATTCTCTGCTGAGTTTAAAAAAAAAACAACTTATGGAAAGTGTTACAGAAAGCCCTTTGCTACTTGGGGGTAAAAATTATTTATTTTGCTAACAGTGCCCTTGGCACTGAATGCTGGAACAAGTTTGTATTCCACAAAAGTCATTATTAATGCCGAGTTTGCATGTGTCTGAATGGTATGCATCGTTTCCCCTGGGTCTAACATTTAGTCAGCCTGTATATCTTAACCATTAATAATATATGTGCCCACATTTTCAGCAGCTAGAGCAAAACAAGGGAACCTATCTTTAGATTTTTCATGCTTTATTAGAAATCCATGAGTGGATCTGTAACTACAGTCTCCTTTCTATTTGTACCTTACAGTTCTTGTCCTCTCTAACTGTCTGAGCACTCTCCATAGAATTACATCTGACCAGCTGATTCCTTTCTCAAATGTACATTTGGATACTTCCACTAATTGTGTGCTAATTTGTGTGTTTCCAATCCCAAGCACAATCTAGTCTCTTCTTAGGAATTCAGATTGGCTCACTGGCATACACACACTGCTGCTTTCCACTCTTCCCTCTGTAATATTTCTTTGAATTTATTTCAAATCTATGTGGAGCACCTTGCACCTCAAATTTTTGTAGTACAGCTGCATAGACAGCCTTATCCCACAACTTTTAAATTATCAAGTGTGGCAGAACTAATTATTTCTAGAAATTCAGTTCCTTACCATCTCTCTTCCTTTCTGCCCATACCTCTTGCTTGCAGACACAGTGTGAAGTCTTGTCCAAACTTTCTCCATTATCTTTTTCAGAAGTTGTGCCTTTTGATTGTTTCATTCTGCTCTTCTGGGTTCTGTTCTTTCTTTCCTTCGTAGTACCACACTGTTCAGACAAGGGTGCATCCATTAGTATGTTCACCTGTCAATAATACCTGCAGTGGCATACTTACTTCAGGGAGTCAGGAAGAAGTATTCTCAGGCAAAAATTACAGTCAAGACACCCATTTCTCACTGAGATTTACAATCTCTTGCCATAGTTAGGGCCATGGGGAAATTTGCCTTTAAATCCTACATTTTTACTTTGTGTTATTTTTGGAGTTTTCACTGTCTTTTACCATGAAAGAGAAAATTGTTTCCACCCAGAAGTGATTGTCCAAGTCTATGGATCATTCTTCCTCCTGAAAGTAATTGATCAGATCGCCAGTGTGCCCCAACGGGAATGTCATTAGCATTTATTTATAGTCTGCTTTGGTACAGTCAGTGTGTAAGAGTGGAGTCATTTTATTCTTTGTATAATGACTCTAGATAGCAAAATCCTAGCCCATGAGGTGGTCTGGTTTTATAACAGTCTTTTATAACCATCCTGCTGGTTTTTACTCTCAAGGTGTTCTTGCAACCTGTGGCATTTTTTTAATGCTTGGCAGTGAGATGGTGGCTCTCTTTTCCTTGGGGAGTCTATTCCAGAGCTTACTGCTCATAAGATAGCACAGAAATGGGAGCACACACAAACCAGCAGGGTAAGACTGAGCTGATAAATCTGCAGGAACTTGTTTCAATATATGTTTTGTTTTCTTTCCTCTTACCTGCAGTCTAAATGCATGATTTGTTTGTTGGTGTTAAACGTTTAATTTTTCTTTTATCCCTTTGCATGCGTGGATCAGTGTTATATCTCCCACTTAAATTATTTCATCACAAATAAATTTAGTTTAATAAGTTGACTCTTTCCTTGAAAATCCCATGTTAGTCACTGCTGCTTTTGTCATCACTTTTGCCAGCTTGTCAGTAGATTGTTGCTAATTTAGGACCTGAAGCTGAATGCTGCATGTGGAGCTGGAGCAGTGATCCATGTGGTGGGGAGCAGCAGAACTCTGTTGAGCCAGCCTGGCTGTTCCGCAGCTCAGAGCCTTCTCTGGCCTGTGTCGGTGGCTAATGTTATTTCAGAGTTGTAGCACTTAGCCTGCTGACTAACAGCCACCTGCAGGTCTCTTCCAGCTTTGTTGCTTTGTGAGTTATTTCTCCCATGGAATGCCTCCTTCCCAAACTGCCTTTCCTCAGCTACAGCAGCATGCATCTTTCCAGGATGCGCTTTGTTTCCTCCAGCTCTCCTCCCTCTTCACAGTGCCTGGGCAGAGTTTCTCTGTTCTCCTCATTTCCTGAATCCCCTCACTCCAGGGAATATGAAAACCCAGTAGCTCCCAGCTGACTGAGTGTCAACTGCAGTCAACCCAGCTGCCTCCCTCCTGCTCCTCTGCAAGGAGGCTGTAACCATTCTGTTTTCTCTGCCGGTTCCACTGCTATCTTCTGTGCTTTTCTCATTGTGAGAGCAGGCTGTGGCACAGATCTACATCTAGAGCGTGCTTTGCTGTCTGGAGGGAGGTGTCTCTCTCCAAAAGAGAGAGCCTAAGGCAACTGTGCTGCTGGAATAGGTGCCTCTGGTAAGTGCCTAAAGCCAAGTGGGACGAATCCCACATAGCTGAAGTATGCAACATTTTAAAGAACATTTTGCTGTTACGCTATTAGATTATGGTGAAGACTTTATCTGTGCCACTTTTAAAACATAATTAGTCTGTTCTCTCTCCCCTTCCAGGCACATGCTCTCCTTTCCCTCTAGAACTTTTCATGAGTGGAAAATTTGTTTATGGCTATTTTATTTCAATATGGTTTAATATTCTCTGTCTTCTCTGTCCAAGAAAATAAAATTGTCAGCATGATTTAGTGTGACAGTAACAACTCTAATACCTTTTGCTGAATTCTGTGTGCTGAGACACGATTTCAGGTTCTTTCTTTAACCCTTGCATGTTGGGTGTCTCTGTAGCCCATCTAACAACCAGCCTTGGGTGGGCAGACTGGCTGTCCAACTGACCTAGCTGTGCAATCCTGTCAGTGCTGTGGGTAGCAAGGACAGCAGTGTGGGGCTCTACACAAGGCCAAAACTGCCCGAAGGCTTAGGATCTTTCCCTGGCATGTCTGCAAAATTAGTTGGCTTGCATGGCAGCTGGGGAGCTCTGGGTATTTCCCTGATCCCTGAGAAAAGGGGGGAGAGTGGGGAGAGAGGAAGGGCTCATGCCTGATCTCTCACTGGTTGTTCTTTATTGCATTAGAGTGAGTGAGATTTTGAGAAACTGCATTTAATAATTTTGTCAGAATTATTTTCTTAGGCTATGTGGTTGTTAACAGGCATTTTCTATTTTTTTTTTTTATGTGAAGGGTGTAACAAACCCTTGTTATCACAGAACTCACTTTGAGAAGATCAGTGTAACTCTAAATCAGCCCCCATGGAGAAAAACAACTTCTTGGATCTCAACTGAAGTTGTTAGTGGTTAGGCTCCCAGCAACTTAAAGGTGGTCAGGAGTAAGTGCCTTTATTTCCTGAAGCTGTATTACATGAGTGGGAATCAAGGGAAATCTTGTTGCCCTGCTCCATCAAGTGCATGGGGGCACAGATTACAGTGCGTTTGTTCCTGACATGCACAAAAATCAACCAAACAGAATTTGGCTGAGAATACATTTCTGTGGAAGAAGAATTTCTTTATTTCCATTTTAGCTAACAATCAGCATTATTCTGGCAAGTGGGGCCTTAGTTTGCCACTGAACAGTGGGAGAAATTTTGAGTGTTGAGGAGGCCCTTTAAAATATTGGAGTAAAAATGTGCAAGCAAAACTGAGCAAATAATTACACTTTATGGAGTTTATTGTGCCTTCAAATAGTCATGCATTACTGCCAATAAAAATAATGGGAATTAAGTGCATACACTGATGAAAGAATATACATGAATAGTTTATATTTCAGTCTATTGAAATAACAGGCCTCTAATTTTTCTCATTGACTGAAAATAGGAGCTATAAAGATAAGAATATTTTTATATTAATACTCTGAGCACATCTGTGAATTTTATTATCAAGCAAATGACCATGGAGAATGACAGCTTTTACATTTTACTAACTGGCAATATTCGACTTTATTTTTTTTGCCTTAAGATAGAATAAAATTGTAATTAACAATGTTTAACTGACCTAAACATCACCGTAAAATGTGTACTGTTTGATAAAAATGTTGTACACTTGCTGGTATAAAACCAGGGCTTTTTAAAGCCCTGAAACTCTATTTTAAGAAATTGTGTGAGTATGCCTTTCTTAGAAAGTGTCTTTAAATGATGTAACAATTAAGAATGCATACAGGACAAAACCTTTCAAACTCTTCTTTTCCAGAAGGAATGATACCAATGTTTAATCGTTTCAAAGTACAAGAGCATTTGTGCTAGTCTATAAGATGATAACATTGGCTTCTTTTTCAAGTTGTTGCAAGCTAGCTCAAAGCATTTATTACATGTATTATTTTCCTAAGTGAACTGAATTTTTGCTACCCTTGACCAGAAATCTAAGGAGATATATATATATATATATATATACACTAAGATTGTTAATTACAGTAGACTACTTTCTGTTTTGTAAAACATGCAAGGAACAGACTTAATAGTTGTGTTATAGTCAATCTGAACTATATTTCATTACTCTTCAGAAGAAAATAAGCCAGCACAATTTCACCACATGACAGAGCTGGTAAAGCTTGATTCTTATTTGTTTTACAATAGTTTAAAGAGGAAGTAGTGAGTAAAATCAAAATGTGCTGTTATAAAGCTGGGAAATGGGGGGTCAGAGTCTTTGCTGGTATGTGTTGCAGTATAATGGAAATGCTGGGTACATTACAGCCACACAGTAAACCCCTTTGTTCTTCATTTAAGATTATTGTTTTCAGTTAACAGAAAGAAAAACAGTGCAGCTTTTGGTTTTGTTTCTAGTAGACTACAGTACCCTTGCCTTTTCTTTGCCTCATTCTGTTCAAGATAAGAAAACTATGGAAGAAGTTGTTAACGTAGATCATTACCAGGGATTCCTCAGCTGGTTTAAACTTGAAGATGAATAGATGGGAATAATTCTCGGATTAGTGGTTTCCATACATTTTATCTTTAAATTATTGTAGTTTTATGGCACATTATATTTCTTTGCTTGAACAGACTGTGCTTATTTTTCATCTCCACTCTCTCTGTCTTTCATCTTTCAGGTCATTCAATCCCGCTACTCCAAAAAAACCCCAACCTGACAGTGTTTAACCTCATCTCCTGACTTGCTAGAGAGGCCACAACAGTGATAAACACATCCTTTCAATAGAAACAGTGGATGAGACAGTAATTCTGTGCTGGTTTCATTACACGAGATACATAGAGAATGAAGTTACTCAAAGCTGAAATTGTATATTCATTAATACGGTTTGAGTACGAAGGACATTGCAGCTTTTGCTCTTTGCTTTATCATTTGGAGCCACCTGCAGGCAGAGAATATAATTCTAGCAAAAAGAAAGAATTTTTGATTTGCTGTTTGCAAGGCTGCTGAGATTGTGAACAGAGGAAAAACCTTTTTCATGACCCTATGATTCTGCATAAATGTTTTATTTAATATGACTTGGTCTCTGCCCATCTAGGCATGGACCCAATATCTGTATCCCTAGAAGACAATACTGGGAAAGAGGCTGTGATCTGTGAGAGTAAAGTCTGTTCACACAGGTGAGTGAGAGCAGAGTGGTATTGAAGGTGAAAATCACTGTAGTGATGCTCAGTGTGAATGGATGGGCACACAGGGGCAGAAGCCCTTAAAAATAGGGGATGGGAGGAGGCAGCATGGGTGGTAGGTAATGAATTACTTAGTGGACCAGGAGAAGACATTTAAATAGGTAATTTTTCATGTTCAGCATGTCTAATAGGAAACAGTAAAAAATAAAAATGAAAAAGGGGAGAAAGGATGGTACACAAAATTGACTTAGCACTCACTTGAATGAGGGAGATCTACTTTTTCACTTGCTCCAAGCATGAGAAAAGGAGAAGGTGTCCCCAGTTACTTCCAAATGCCAAGCAGGACTTGAATACAGTTCCTTCATTTATTAGTAATGATGCTGCACAAATTCAAAATTGCTAGAAACTTCTAAAGTTATAAACAGCTTTCCATATTTACAACCCTTCTTAATTCTGTTTTGACCAGTCATGTTGATCAGTGTCCCCTTAACAATCTTGGGATGATTGCAGGTGTGTTATGTTAAATAACATTAACTCTAATCAAGAGACATACCACTTCAGTGAAATATAACATTATGAATAAATTAATTTCCTATCAGTGAACTTAAGTGTTTATCCATCATCTTTTTAAGAACTTCCCCCAGTCTCATTAAGTTTTCTGAGTGGGAATGTATCAAGTGCCCTCCTAAAGTACATTTGCATTATCTACTGTGTTTCTTTTCAATGAGTCTCTTGGTAAGTCCAGCTAAAAGAGCCACTTAAAGATTTATGTCCTCCTTTAACCGAGGTATACTAATTCTTTGTAACCCTCTACATTTGCTTCTCTGAGAGTAACACATAAACAAACCAGCAGAAGACCTGGCATTTTCCCCATGGAGCCATGCAGGAAATGATCTTCTCCTCCTTTTCTACTAGCTATTCAGATGATAAAGAGGATCTTTTCCTCAGAAGTGTATTTTCCTCAGGTAGTGGAATTCACCAAAGAGTAATTTGTTTTAACCATCTGTCCCACTTCCCTTATTGTTGACTCATCCCTAGCATCCCCACGGTAAGCCCATCTATTACAGGCTGTAAACTAGCCCAAGTTATCTTTCTCTCTGTGTGCATAAAATTTGGTGCCATACCATTTATTGTAGCTTCTCTTTCATGTAACTGACTGTCTTTTTTAACATATCAAATTGCAATTTTTTATGGAAAACTGCTTGGAGTTCTAAGGAGGAAGAAAAGGACAGAATGATAAAGGGGATATGCGAGACAAATTGCACAGAGTGGACTATGATTAGCAAATAAGACAGGAAGGCAGAATGAGTGTACAGCATTGATGAGGCTCTGAAACTGCTCAGAGATCCAACAGC